TAAAAATTTACTTCAAGAAGCAGTAAAAAAGTCATCCCAAACATAATTCAGAAAGCATCTTGTTAACATCAGTTTCTCAATGTCCTTTAAGAAAAAAAAAAAAAACCTTAGTGTTGTTTTACCATACCCAAAATATTGTTCTTGTGATGATTTTAAAGGTTCACATTGATGGATTCACTCGTACGTAATCTGTCCTACAGAAACTTTATTTCTGTTTTGAAATTTGTTCTATTGGAGATGAAAAGTTGGATTATTTTTCCCTTTCAAAATAGAGGGAGGGGACTGAAAAGAACTTAACCCATCCTTCATTTTCAAGTACATGATACTTTTTCTTGTTTTCTTTCTTCTTTTGACTGATTGAATTAGGTTGATCTTTTTAATATAGCCTTTACTATTATGAACCTAATCTGATACAATTATCTCTCATCAGATCATTTACACTTATACTAATGATCAAATTACTTGCAATTATCGACAATTCATCCTTATTTACAAACCAATATATATCCTTGGTTTCAAATAGCCTAGATACTTATCTCAAAAGCTTATTAGTCTCATTTTTCTTCATATATTTGCAGTTACTGAACTAGAAGAAGGCGAGTCCTCCAAAAAGATTGTTGAGAAAATATGCCAAGCAAGCTTTTCAGATCAGTCTGACAGAAGTTGCCTAATTATAGAGAAGATATTAAAAGTTCATAACATGCAGAAAACTCTAGCTAACTTTGAAAAATACAGGGAATCAGTGAAGGCCAGAGCTAGCAAGCTTCAAAAGAAGCATGCGCGCTGCATAGCTGATGGAAATGAGCTTCTGAGGTTTCATGGCACTACAATTTCTTGTTCTTTAGGCGTTAATGGTTCCTCAAGCCTGTGCTCATCAGAGAACTGTAATGTTTGCCGGATCATAAAGCTCGGTTTTTCTGTAATATGGGATATGAATGAAGGGGTGGGAGTATTCACGGCTTCGACAAGCGAAAGAGCATTTGAATCCATTGAGACAAGCAAAGAAAAACCTTTGACGAAGAAGGCCTTGCTGGTTTGCAGAGCAATTGCTGGGAGAATTCATAAGCCATTGGATAATCTTCAAGAAGTGATTGGTCTGCCAGGCTTTGATTCATTAGCAGGAAAGGTTGGTGGGCATTCAAGTCTTGATGTGCTTTATTTGCTCAACCCACGAGCCCTTCTTCCTTGCTTTGTGGTGATCTGTAAGTCGTAGGAGCTTCATATCTTTTTCTTTTTTACTGGTTTCTTAGTACACTTATGATTATGTTGGTGGTGTGCATTTGAGCATTATATGTACTCCAGAAAAATAATTGTGGGATAGGATCTTTGATAGAAATATAAAGCTGAAAAAGCTAAAATGGCTCTTTTTTAAGCATTCAACGGTATAAAAAATGAAGAACAAAACGCATTTCTTGGGAAAAAAATGTCTTCTTTGTTATGAAGATCGAATATGTGCTTTTGATCGTTGTGTTTAAGTAAGTTTGAATTGTTAAGTTTATTGCCAATCAGTTTAGTTGGGTAAATACCTCATCAAATCAAATTTATATTTGAGTACTATATTTAAAAAAAAAAAATGTTTAAGCTCTATAGAATCTAAGAGTAGATGTAACTAAATGAGAATGGGATACGTGCTGTTCAAGGTTACTGTGCCTTCGTGAATTTGCTATGATTTAGGGAATCACTCGCGTAGAAGATTTTTTTTTTTAATTCTTTAAAGCTTAGATTTTTTTTGGGGTCTTTTGAGTTAATTGAGAAATAAACACATTTTTCTCTTCTCTCGTACTATTTGCTTGCTTCTCTTCTCACATGTATCATTCTCAATATCTAACTACTCAAAAAACAAGAGAAAGACAAATAAAATAACCCAATGGACACAACTCATTAGAAAAATGAGAAAGAAACCCTTTAGTCCGTCTCTCAGCACTGTGGCGCTAGTTTGGGCGTTACGGCGCTCAAATCTTTGTCTTGCTCCATTGCAACGCCATATCATGGCCACTGCAGTGCTCTGCTCTCTATTGTTCAGCATCGGGGAGATCGGGAACACATCACCGAGGCGCTCAGGTACGCAGTGCCGGAGCATTGTAGGGAAAAAAAATTCGATTAAGGAACCCAAGCAAGGGGTAAACCCCCGCAACCCAACGAACATAACAAGCTTGAGGTCCAAGACAACAGAATAATTAGATTGATCAACATAATCAGATTCCACACATAAACTTAGTTATCTGCTTATATCACATAAAATAAAATTTGAGAGCTAACGACTTTCTCAACAGATCAATGTGATTGAATGATCTTTTGGTATCTAATTATTAAAAATGCTGAAAGTTTTTGTTTGAGAATGGAGTGCTAATGTAGATAATTTTTTTGATAGAGAAATTCTTAATGGATATAAATGCTTTGATTTCGTCTCAAATCATATACTTGAAAATTCTTAATGGGGTGCTAATGTAGATTGTTCATATATGAGCATATTTAACTTTAGAGTTTCATAATATAGAATTCTAATCTCATTACACCAAAAAATATCTCAATATTTAACACTTTAGCTTTATTTTTTTTAAGGGATTTCTTATATTCCGGTGAACCAGATTCGTGCTAGTGTTGCTCACTGAAATCCTTGGAAGAGTCTCTGAAAGCAGAAATAGATCATTCGAAATTCTGTTAGATCAGAATCAAAATTTTCTCTTTTTTTGGACATTAGGACACATAAGATAAATGCACACACATCATATAAACAAGTTTGTTTTTTTTTTTTTTTTTTTTTTTTTTTTTGAGATAATTAGGAGATTTGAGCCCGGATGAGATAGCAAGAATTTTTTTCGTCCACCACTCAGCCGCAGATCCGATCTCTTATATAAGCAAGTTTTGATTCTAAATTTTTTTAGTTGATAGTGAGCTGCATCAGAATCAATTTATGATCATCTTATATAAATAAGATGATCATACTGTAGAAATTTCCGAATTTCTGATCATAAAATACGTTGATCTTCTTCTTGCTGATCAACATAAGTTGTCTCTGTAGTGTATAATCCTGTCTAAATAGTAAAATTTATAATCTAATTGAAAGAAATTCTTTAATTTTTTTTTCACAAAATTAAAAATTATATAATAATAAACTATTAATTTTTTAAGAGAAAAAAGTACCACTTGTAAAATAAAAAATGGTAAAAAGCTTAGTATCTTACTATTTAAGTTTATTTAATTCAAAATATTCTAAGCTATTTAAAAATATGTAATTACATGACAAAAAAAAAAGAAATCAAGAATTGTTTGTTCTGCTAAAAAAACATTGCTGAGTAAAAGAATACGGTGTAAAAAAAATTGTATGTATTTGAAATGTTTGATGCCGGTTGGATGAGTGATAAATAAATACAAGAGATTTTTTTATTTTTCTTGAAGTAGAATAAAAGCAATGTAAATGGTCGCCAGCAGTCAGTGGTGTGATAGTAATGGCGACCATAAGAAGGTAGTGAGGGGCCACTGTGGACAACAACAATTGTTAGCGGCGATGATGATCGGTGGTGGTCCTTGTGAATGGCAGTAGTGGGCAGTGGCACACGACGACAATTCAGTTCGCTTGCAGTGAAAAAATAAACTTGACCAAAACTTGGAGAGTTTACGACACATTAAAAAAAGTTAGAGACTGACAAAAAAAGTTCACTAAAATTTTGCGTTGTATTTCTTTTTCATCAAACTAAATTTTCAGCACTAATACTTTGGATTCCTTTTTTCAGCAAAATCAAACATCCTTATTTATATAAATTTTCAGGCAATATTTAAAATCTGATCAGTTCGGATTAGTTGGACACCAATGCTCCCGATCTGATGAATTTTAAACCAATTTCAATTAAATCATTTATTAGATTTTTCTAATTTATAAAACATTGATGGATCTACAAGTATATCATTGGTTTTGCCAAACTCTCATTAATTCAAAGAAATCATAATTACTGTTGTTCAATTGTGATGTGTTGGTAATCTTATTTATTTATGCTAGAAAAATATTATCTGCATACAAACTTCAACTCAGTGATTGTGAGTTTTGACTTCTATCAACGGGCAGCTCTTTGGTTGAGTAAAAAGGAATGAAGTGTAAATGTAATATTTTGAAGTTATTTAGATAAATGTTAAGTAAATGATGGGAATGATTTTTTTTTTTAAATCTGGTTTTAAGTAATGAATGTAGCATAAAGTTCAAAAATGGTGGTTGCTGGCGGAGGACAACGGCAACAGTGGTCGATGGCGATCAGTAGTGAGTGACGGCGGCGGTAGGTGTTGAGGTAGCCATCGGTGATGCATGGTGGCCCGTAGTGGCCGCCGGCAATAGTGATGGCTACAGCGAGTGGCAGTGTCAGGTGGTGGTAGTAGTCATGGATGTCGGTGGTGGGTGGCGATTGGAGGCAATCAAGTGAACTTGCTTTTGGTGTAAAAGATTAACACTCAAAATTAGGCAAACTTGATTTACTTCAAAATTGAACTTAAAAATAATTTACACTGCATTTATTTTACTTTACTCAGCAATATTTTGATTTTCCAACTCTTTAGAGTTCTTGTCTTAGAGGAAGATGATTCTTGAATCTACCTTGCTTTTTCTTGGATGGCTACACCGAGAGGGAGAGGGAAAGGGAGGGGGAGAGAGCTTACATAATACAAATCTTATTCCTTCTCGCCATGAAAAACAAATATAAGCCATGTTTATTTAAATTAAAATAATAATTATTATTTTAGTAATTCTAAATAATACGTAAGAAAGGACAAAACAAAAGAAGCAACTTGCAAAAAATATTCACGGCCTAATGACTGGACTTCGGAGGCTGTAGAATATTTTTTTTTTTTCGATTTTTTTTTTGGAAAAATTTTATCGAATATTTGAAGAAAAAAGAATCCTATAAAATAGACAACTTAATCACTTTTTTATTAATTGTTTTAATAACAAATAGTACGACTGGGCTGCCAAGCTGGTGCTCACAATAATTGAACAGACTGGGCTCCACCTCTCTCTATATAAAATGATACAACTGATAACATCGCCGCCTCTATAGCGCGCGTAAATTCCCTCTTACATCATGCAGGCGCCGGCGCAGAAAAACTCAGATGACCCGACGGCGGCCCTTGTCCAGACCGGACCGGCGGCGAAGCCCATAGGCTGCGAAGAGGGGATGAATGTGGACGAGATGCTTACGAGATTCGCCGGCGAATTTGGCCCGTGGCAGCTCCGGCAGTTCCTGCTGACTAGTCTTGCTTGGATCCTCTGCGCTTTCCAGGTCATGGCGGTGGTCTTTGCTGACCGGGAATCGTCTAAGCCCATCCCATGCCCGGCCGGAATCCGGTTGGATCGGGCGTGGTGGTTGGCCCGCTCGACGGTGGAGGAGTGGGGGCTGAATTGTGGTGAGAAGTACAAGGTTGGGTTGGCGCAGTCGGCTTTCTTTGCTGGATCCATGGCAGGTACGAAGCGAATATTTATTATCTTTTTTTTTTCTATATTATTCCATTAGGAGTTACTTCAATTAGTTTAAAAAAAAAATCTGTCAAAGCAATTCATTGTAGATATATACTGTGTTAAAGTGATTCTACACTGAATTGGTGCTCTAACAAGAAGAGAATGCTAACTGCGGAGTCCGCTCCAGAGAATCGTCCGAATTCTGTGAGAGTATACAGTAAATAAATAACTTAATTTTTTTGTTGTGTATTTGCTGTGCACCCTCATAGAATCCATAGATGATTCTCTGGTCCAGACTCTTCACATAATAATTTCTCATTTATAAGACATCAAATGGTTGAGGCTCTGAATTCGAATGAGGCAGATTTTTTCCTAATTTTTAAAATACCATTTCAATATAAAAATTTATTGAACGAGAAATTTTTATAATACAAATTGCTTTAGCAAACATTAAGAAAATTGTCTCAAATGAAGCTTCAATTTGTTCAATTAAATATTTGTTGCTCTGCTTAGTTATAATTCTCTAGTTCACTAATCAAATGCATATGAATATTTTATTGAGAGAAGAATAAACTTAATTCAACAACTTAGGGTTCAATTTATTTATGAATAATATCATTTAATGGTTGTAAATAGCCTCTTTATACAGCTTGATTAAAGTTTCATAATATTCTCATTTAAGATTTGATTATAAGTTTATTTAATAGTGATTATGTGAGATTTTTATTATTTTCTACATTAACTTGAATTTGTTCATGAACAAAAGTCATTTGCTATAGTCAATAAAATATTTAATTATCTAATAGTTCACTCAATCAAAGTCTCATTTATAAGCTTTATAATCAAAGTCTCTTGAATGGAGTTTGTGCATTGAAGTGTTTTGTGTCTAAATATTTCGTATAAATATTTTCATTTTGTTTCTTTAAAATTATGTATGTATTTTTCTATTCAATCTTCTATATTAAAAACGAGGAAATAAATTATGACATTTGTTTATTTTATCACTAAAAATGTTATGAATGATTTCATTATTTTTTAATTGGAAATAAATTAATGTAACTACATGAGTCATTTTTTATGCACATTGGCATCCATGCATGAATAATACTTACCGTTTCATTTGAGACAACTATGTTATTGTTTTTTAAAACAACTTTTTAGTAATCCCCTAAATGACAAAAAAAAAAAAAGATCAGACATCCCTGACCCTATCAGCTCTTATGTATATATTCAATGTTTAGAGAATAGATTATTATATAAGTTTTTTTTTTGTTAAATTAGAATTTAATGATATTTATTGAAATTAAAAAAATTCCCGGTCTTTGATATATTTAATAATACTCCAGCCATTTCTCACTGTAGTTAGATGCATGGAACCGATGGATAAGATTTTGGCTGTAGCTCAGGAGATTTTTTTAAATATTTTTCTATTATTATATTTCGAATGATGAGTATCAAAACTCAAAATATACATTTAATATTAATTGGAGGATGGATCCACAGCTCAGCACCACGTACACTTAAATATTTAATGCGACATCTCTGGCTTATCATAATTTAAGAGGATGGAGAGGGAAGCTGACGTGGAAATATTTTTATTTTTAATTTTGAGAGTTGGAAAAGAAATGAGAAAAATAAAAACTATAAAATCATTTATTTGTTTTTTTAACATTATTAGTAATACTTCATTTTGGATGATTGAAGAAGAGGAATGCATTGACGTGTTGTGGATGGCTCAAATTTAAGGGAAATTTTTTATGAGATACCTTTATTGGACCAAATATTGCCCAATAAAATTAAATTAAGTATTACAAAATGAGGATGCTTAGATGAATCCCTGACTTTTTACTTAGAGATAAAATGAGAATGAGTACAATGTTGAAAAAGTTGGTATAGCTCCAGCGGCAAATAAAATTAGATAGAGCTAGCTGAGGTGGTTTAGTCATGTAAAATGTAAGCTTTCTGACGATCATATTAGGAGAGTAGATGTATGGGTGTCAAAATCAGGTTGTGGGCCAGGTTGGCCTCGAACCCGATTTTGATCGATTACTATTTGACACAACCTGAACCCGACCGTTTTTATAAATGGGTCCGAAATTTCAACCTGAACTCAACCTGTCAGGTTTACGGGTTGACCTGACCTGACACAAAACTGTTTCTAAAAAAATGGTTACCTTCACAATGAGCAAGTTCCCTCCTGTTGTCGTCTTACTTCCGATCAAGCAAACGGTGAGCTGTCGTGACTTTCGCTCGGAGCTCCCTCCCGTCATTGTTGTTACTTCCAATTCAACTGCATAATGACAAGTCCTTCATTCATCAAAGGAGGTGAATGCGCAAAGCAGGCGGACGGCAGACTACGCATGCACGAAAACATAAAAAGCAAACCCTAGGTGGGTTGACCAAAAATCGGGTCAGATTCGGTCCAACTTCTGGTTAGAGGGTTGACCCAGACCCGCCCGATATTTTAAATGGGTCGCATTTAAAATCCGACCCGTTTGCCAAACTGGTTGACCTTAACCAAAAAATTTTGAGTCAAATTCGAATCAGGTTGTCAGGTCGTGTTAAATATTGATACCTCATGCATTCGAGCCAGCTAATGTTAAAAAACATAAAAATATATCTAAAAAAATTATATTAAAAAGTATTAAAAATGATATTATTTTTATTAGATTTAAATGAGAATTTAATTATTTTAACCCAACGAATTGGGATAAAAAGTTCGTTTTTTATTTAATAGTATTTATTTAATTATTTGTTGTTAGTAATGTATTTATTTTGAGAATTAAAAAGTATTGCTATTAGCAGGTGCGGCATTCTTTGGACACGTCTCCGACTCCTTCCTAGGCCGAAAAGGCGTCCTCACTCTCACCACCTTCCTCCTCACCGTCTTCTCCCTCCTCACCGCCTTCTCTCCTTCCTTCTTCACCTACTCCTTCCTCCGCTTACTCTCCGGCTTCAGCACCGGCGGCGTCGGCCTCTCCGCCTTCGTCCTCGCCACCGAACCCGTCGGCCCTTCCTTCCGCGCCGCCGCCGCAATGTCCACCTTCCACTTCTTCTCCATCGGCTCCATTTCCCTCTCCTTCACCTCCCTCCTCCTCCCCTCATGGCGCCTACTCTACGTCGCCACCTCTCTCCCCTCCCTTCTCTTCCTCCTCCTCGCCCTCCCCTTCATCTCCGAATCCCCTCGCTGGCATCTCGTTCGCCGGAACCTCCCCGCTGCCATGCAAATCATCCGCGCCGTCGCTAAAACCAACGGCTACTCCATTCCCGACCGGGCCATTCTCGTACACGACGCCGACGCGACCCGGCCCGTCCGGACCGCTTCTATTGTCGACGTCATGAGCTCCCACGTGACCCGCCCGCGCCTCATCCTCGGGTTTCTAATCAACTTCCTGATATCGGTGTCCTATTACGGGCTCACACTCAACGTGGCGAACTTGGGGCCCGAAATCCACGCCAGCGCTATACTCAACGCGGTCGCGGAAATGCCGGCGTACGCGCTCACGGCGGTGGCGCTGAGATGGCATGGAAGGCGGCCGATGGCGGTGACATCCATGTGGCTCTGCGGATTCTTCTGCTTCGCCGCGGGGGCGTTTGTTAATGCGGCGAGAATGGGGTGCGCGGCGGTGGCGATATTTGCGGTGGCGGCGACGTATAATTTGATGTATGTGTGTACGGCGGAGCTGTTTCCGACGGAGGTGAGGAACGCAGCGTTGGGGTGCGTGACATTGGCGGGGCAAATGGGGGCGGTGGCGGCTCCGGTGGTTGTTGCGGTTGGAGGGAAATGGGGGTTTGGTGTGTTTGGGGGGTGTGCGGTGGTGGCGGGAGGTTTAGGGCTGAGGTTGCCGGAGACGAGGAAGCAGCCGTTGTATGAGACTATGGCGGGGTTGGAGGGGGGAGGGAAAGGAAAGGGAGAAGCAGGATGATGCGGATTGAAATGGCTTAAATTTTGTTGTTTTTCTGACGTGGTTTTAATGAATAAAAATCAGATCAGGGTATCTTATTCAAATTTTAGATTTATTTTCAGATACATTATTAGAAGATAAATATACTATATAAATAAATAATTCATTTTTAATTATATTTATTCTAAACTAAATTTAAACTTTACAAAATCACTCATGATCAAATCTCAAAAAATTTGTTTTTTTTTTCTAATTTTAATTTGGATTGATATGTTGATTAATTGTTTAATTTTTTAAGTAATTTGAAAGCTAGACCAAATAAAAATTAAAGGAGCATCATTTTAAATGAGGAGAAATGCAGTATTAGATAAACATTCGATATCCCAAAAAGATTAAACTATGAGCAAGAGTCGATAGTCCACAATATTTATGAATTTAAATGGGATTAAGATTGTGCTAAATATATTAAGCTACAATGAAATTTAGAGAGAGGGAGAAGATTGATGAGTCATGTTAGGGAGTGATTATCAAGCACTATGGCGTAGCTAGAAAGTCTAATTTTGTTGGCCAACCAACTACCCTCTTTTAATGTTCTACCCTACCTTTTATATCCTACGTAAACATTGTAAACAATTCAACTAATTGTAAGGGCGTCAAAATTTGACCTGATTAAAAAAATTCAAGGTTCGGATCAACTCGTTTGTCATACGGGTAAGGTTAAGGTTAGATAATCTGGACCGTTTATAAATCTGGGTAAGTCCAGGTTGACCCGAAACTCGAAAACAACCTAGAATGACCCAATTTACATACACTTGATGATTTCCCTGTGATTCGTGCCCTCGTCTAACGAACACCTGCAACACGCTCGCGTCCAGGGCCAGACCCACTCCATCACTTGCGATAAGACCCCCTCCAACGAACTCGAGCCCCTATCGCTGCTAGCGCCGAGCTTGCCTCTCGTGGTCTCGCCTTAACCATGCTGACACCATGATGCGTTCCCAGTTTGCCCACCCGGCCGAACGACCGAATCTGGAACTGTCGCTCAACCGTTCGACTATGCCTCCATGAATGCGACCCTACCTGCAGACTCACGACTCAAATGCTTGACCACACCCCTCCTGCAACCTCACCGCTCGCGAAACTCACCCATTTTTGAATCAAAATAGGTCCGCAAGTCGGGTCGGATCAACCCGATAGCCTGTGCGGGTTGAAATACTTGACCTGTTTGCAAAAACGTGTCGGGTTTGAATCAACCCGTTTATACTCTGGTCAATCCGAGTTCGACCGGAACCTAACTCACTGACCCATTTTGGCACCCCCAACTGCTTGTGTGGGTATTCTCACCTAATGATAATGATAATCAGTGTTTATAAGAGTATGATGTTGTAGATGGTGATGATTTTAGCAGATTATCTTCTTGGTAGAATTAGTTGTTACAAATGAGAATGTATTTACAACAACAAAGTGGCAAAGCACAATGTAGATGAAGAAGTGAACTAGGATCACAAATTAGCTGGTCAAGTAATTGTAATTACCATTGTGGCACAAAAAAGGGCTCAACGGTATTTTATCATAAATGTTGATGCATAAATAATCTTTTTGAAGGCTTTGTCAGTAGTAGCGTCTATCAATGTCATCAAGAACATCTGAGACTAAATGTCAACCATGTCTGTGAGACATAAAGCAAAAAAATTTATATTAAAAAAATATACGCTTATTCAGTCAGATGTTCGCTTTCTATTAGTGTCCGAATGCAGAGATAGGTCCGATCACCGGACCTAATAATTTTCCGTGTGATGGACATTACCGCTGGAAAAAGCCTTTCAACCATCTTTTAGAAGAGGTCGAGGCTGGAAAAATAACCATAGTTGATCAAGTGCTAATCACTTCCATAAAGATTCCCCGGACATGGCATGCTTTTAATGTTCACAATCATAGAATCGAACAATTCTCTCCATCTGGATTCCGCACATAATAATCTTTCCTCTAGATAACATTTTGAGAACATCATGAAGGCACAACCTTTGCCTCGACCAATTTTTTTTTAAAAAAATACAATTCATTTTCAAAAAAATGAATTCTAACTAATGCTTTGATTTGACATATGATGCCATTCAAATTTAAGGTTTATTTGGAATGACTTTCTTATTGTTTTTTGAAATATTTTTTTAATATAAAAATTTTAAAAAAATACTAAAAAATAATTTTAAGAAGCAATAAAAAAGCCGTCTCAAACAAAACTTTACTAATGCTTCTAAAAAACTGCTTTAAAAAGCAATAAGAAAGTCGTCCCGAACAAAACCTAAATCGAACAAAATCTCATTCGCCAACAACTAAACATTATTAATATTTCCATTAATGTTTTGCAAAACTAAAATCATTAAAACTACCAAATTATACAAAACAAAAATTAAAATCAGTGATTTTCTCCTATAATAATAGTTGCCCGACATGTTTAGGACTTGATAAAAATAAAAAGTCTCAAAGATGGAATCATCACACCGATCGTGGTTTGGCTGATTATGTGGCCCAAAAATACCTCAATGAGATTAAGAAATCACATTGATAAACTACAACATTTTTAAATGTACAAATGACATATCTTTACTGGCCTAATCACTCCTTAACCCTTGTTATTAATCGACATGGTTATTAGGACAACCTAATGTAAAACTCCTTAACCCTTATCAATAATCACCATGGTCATTAGTAAAAACTACTGTAAACGGCCAAATTAGTGTTGACAAACACACCAAGCAGCTTTGCAAGAATCGCTCAAGTATTCATGCTAAAAGTTTTATCAAACTAATCCAAACATATAATCGTCATATTTAGGCTTCGTTTGGGACGGCTTTTTTATTGCTTTTTAACGCAGCTTCCCTACACAAAATAACTTTAAGAAGCAGAAAGAAAGCCGTCCCAAACAAAGCCTTAGGCTTCGTTTGGGACGGCTTTTTTATTGCTTTCTAAAACTGAGTTTTAGTTAAAAAATAAAAAATTTTGTACTAAAACGGAAAAGCCGTCCCAAACGAAGCCTTAATCACATGAAACTGTGGTATTGTTGGTAGCAAGAGGTGATGAAGAAGTTATAGGTGCTAATAATATCATAAAGAGGTTAAACATCGAGAACAATCTTTAACACATTTCATGCATAGAACGAAACTGAAATATAAAGAATTGCAAAAATGTAAATTCTTTTCTTAAAATTAATATCTCAGTGCATCAATACCTGTCTTCTTAAAGCATCTCATTAAGTTCAGTTTGTCTGAATGATCTGCTTCCCTACACAAAATAACTTTCTACTAAGAGGAAAGCAAAGGTTCATCTTAATAGGAAATTGACAAACCAGATTCAAAAGTCAGATGCAGACCTGGATGTCTTATGAGGAAAATTATTTGGAAGACATTGATTCAGAATCTGTTTGTTGATGATATATTCAAAGTCAGATGTAGGCCTGGATGTCTAATATTTGGTTGGTGTGCTGCATTTCCTGATGGATTCTCATAATTTTGAAAAAAATTATTTATAGGTGCTTGATTCATACGCTGGCTTTGTTTGGGACGGCTTTTTTACTGTTTCTTAAAGCAGCTTTTCAGTACAAATTTTTTAATTTTTGTACTAAAAAATTACTTTAAGAAGCAGAAAGAAAGCCGTCCCAAACTAAGCCTCTGTTTGTTGATGCCGGCAGCTAGATGATTGACTCGATGGATTTTCAGGATTTGAGTCTTGAGGAGGAAAGTTAAATGTTGGTGCTGATACATGGCTTGATGGTTGATAATTTGGAGGCTGTGAGGCCTGTGGAGCATACATAGATGGCGGTGGCGACCCCGAATAGCCCAATTGAGATTCTGAATCCTGTGAATAGTTTGAAGCCCGAACTGATGGAAAGCTTGATGGAGGTGGTGGCACCTCAGATGAATAGTTGGAATTGTAACTTGGCGGAGACTGCAATGTCTGAGTTGAACGGTAAGAATAGTTTGATGGAGTCTGTGTTTCCTGAGATGTATGGTTAGAATGGCTCGGAAGAGGCTCTGATGCCTGAGTCGACTGGTAAGTAGACCAAGACTGCGTTGTCTGGGTTGTGTGGTTGATTGGTGGTGAAGAACTAACGTTCAGTGGGGGCTGTGATGGCTGAGCCTGAGAAGGTGGCGGTGGCCTTGGTTTTGCATACTCAGCAAATATAACCCAACCATCAAGAAACTGAGAAAGAAAAGAAATCAGCATCAAATATCAATGTATGAGCAGCAGGTCAAACTTAATTACAGAGAAGAAAATGAAACCAACGGCCGTGCAAGAACTAATGTTTGTTATACCTGATCTAGGACAGGTCCAACTGTTCCAATCAGGACCGCTCTAGGTTTACAAATGACAGAACCAGAGGGGTTCCGCCTCCTCTCTGCCACTCACTTAATGTGGGGACCACAAGAGCAATTAGGAGGAAAATTAGGAGGGGGATTTCTCAAATTGTACGGGCTGTTTTGGGATTTGACCTAATTATTGTATGGTTAAGTAAGTTTTGGAAGCTAGGTTGAGTTTTATCTCTAATTTTAGCTGAAAAATTAGGGTGGGTTCTTGTGTTCATGAGTGGGCTCTAACGACATCTAGAGATTTGGAAGAGATGGATCTTCCTCACCAATAGAAGATCCATTGTATATTCCTATTTTTCTTCATTTACTATTAATCAAAAGTCCAATTTTTTTATTTTTCTTCCAATCAATTGCAAATTTATGTTTTCTCCAATTGTTGGAATTAAATTTCAGCAAGGAATATTATCTGATTTTTTACAAGCGTATTTTATCATATAAATTGAAATTTAATTTTTTTTTTCTCAACACTTCTCCAACTGAATTTTGGGTTATCTTATACTTCTTACCACGATGATATACAATATGACTTGTACAACTGGATCGGCTCATATCAGGTCAAGTCGTGACAATAAAGTTTATTGCATCTTGTTAGACGCCTGTGAGGCAGAACAGGTTCCACTTGTTTAAGTGGTGTGGCATTAACTATATTTTGCATGCTTTAAATATATTGTTTATCCTGGGGTTAGGTTTTATCTTATGTTCTCTAAAAATTGGAGAGTTCTTAGGTTTTGTTTGGGATCTAGCTGCCGACTAGAGATTGGGAGAGCCGAATCCTCTTCTCCAATTGATGATCCAACTGTATCTTGTTATTAACCCTAAGTTTTCAGCCAAAATCATAGATGAAACTCAACTTAGCCTCCAAAACTCACTTAAACATATAATAATTAGGTCAAATCCCAAAACAGCCCTTACAATTTAAATTTTTTCCTCCTAATCCCTCCTAATTTTCTCCCTAATTGCTCTTGTGGATTCCACATCAAGTGGGTGGCAGAGAGGGGGCATAGCCCGTCTGGTTCCACCGTTTGTAAACCTAGACTAGTCCTGATTGGGCCGGTCCTGGATCAGATCTAACAAGGTGTGAAAACTTCAACCACAAGTCCATCAAGATAAAACTCCAACATTGCCGCTCACCTTGCCATCCATGCCCTTAATGCCTTCAGCAGCTTCTTCAATTGTACCATATCTCACAAAACCAAAACCCTTAGAGTAACCCGAAACTCGATCAGTTACAACTCTGGCTGTTAGAGCATATGGGGAAAACAGTGATCAGGATATCAGTGTCGTTTTTCTGTACACTTTCTGAGAAAGACGCATACCATTGACGACATTCCCAAACTTTGAAAAGGCTTCCCTTAGCCCTTCTGAAGTGGTCCGCTTGCTTAGTCCTGCACAAACCTTATAAGGAGTAAAATGATGACGTCATACAAAGCTAATCACTGTGAATCAGTGAATTTGGAGCTGTTGGATTAGTCGTCCTAATGCATGGAAAGAAGTTGAACAACATGCATAATTTGAGTAAAAGCAAATATACATCTTTAGCCTACAAAAGAAATCTGCAAGGTAGTAAAATTACTGAACTACTAAACCTTCTTCAAGTTCTCAGAGACATTCCTAAAGATAGCTTAAAACTACATTTGAAGAAAAAAATCTTTGATAAACTTGAGACTAAAGAAACTGGCACCTGTCTCCCTAATTGAAATGTAATAGACTTCAGAAGAGTGTTTCATCTACAAATATTTTGGTTCAAAAGGTATCTATGAGACTATGAACTTTGCATGAATGTATGCAACTGCATTATCTTAGAATGACTTGCTGCAGCTGGTAAATTCGCATTTCAAAACAATATTTGGATAATTTGAATATATTCTAAATATTCACCACTAAAAAGACAGATGTTTGCAGGTAAAACTCATAATGATTTTTTTTAAACACAATAGATTTCCTTCATCTCCGTCCAATTGACTTAAAGCATAAATTACTTAAATGGTATGCTTTTCAAATCAAATGAGGTTCAGATTAACACAAAGCATAAGCTACCTGGCACGGTTTGAAAAATGGCAAACAACTTAATGGACAACTCATAAAATTTATTAAAAACAGCTATTGAAAACATAATAATTCATGCTCAAAGCCAACATAAGCATAAGTGTTGAATCCAAATTTATCCCTAGGCGACAACTTGACCCTACTAGAGAGTTTAGCTAAATAATAATTTCTAGAAAGTCCCCTTAACTTTTTGGATAAAAAATTTCGCTGCCTAAGCATTCTCGGTACGACAGATTTAACTTTAGTGGGTGAGTGCAGGATGTGGCAGTTCAGCAGATAGTGATCCCCTAAGAAGCACCTCCTATAATGAGGAACAGTATGCCCTACAAGGCCGAGTGTATATCTAATATGTCAAACAATCCTTTGCCCAGGAGTTCCAATGCCCTTTTCCGTTGTTCCCTTCTAATGTTCATGAACCTACCTCACCTTCATCAGGCGGTCCAGTCATCAAGGTCTTAGCACCATCTCCACAAAACCCGTGTTGGGGTAAGTACAACTTCTGGAGGAGGAGCTCACATGAATCAAGGTCGATCCCAACAAAGGAAATAAGAGAATTGTGTCCGTAGAGATGGCCAGCTCTCCTTCAATGGCAAGTAAGGATGGTGATTTGCTATTTCGGGAGGTGGTCAATTTGAGGGCTGATATGGTGGCAAGTCACAAGCTTTTGAAATCATCAATTCATGGTGGAATCAATTCCTAACCAGAGGCAAGTTTATCCTATAGCACTTAATTAGGAATGAGGTAGTCTCCCCAAAAAGTTCATATGGATCTTATATTTAAACTTTTTCTTAGGAGCAAGTGATATGAGCTCACCATCATATAATGAAATTACATAATTTTTTTTTTACTTATTTAAATTGCATTCATTATACATGATTTACTGAGTCAATATGTCAGCATAATGATTCCTCTTTATTTCTTATGGCAACTCCTCTTTTTGATTCATTTGTCAAGTGTGAGCAGATCTTTCTAAATTTTTGGTGATTTGCTTATTTATGGTGAACGTCACTTTTGCCTAAAATTTTTAGTTCTACCAATAAATACCCCCACGGTCTCAGGTAGGCCGCTAGGGCACTATTTTTCTCATTTTTATCGTGATTTTCTCTCCTCACTTGCTCTTTGTTAGTGCAACTGCTTTGCCTAAAGATGGTTTCCTTGTGAAGATGCCAGAAGGTTCCATCAGGGGTGAGTACTATAAAATTTTCTTGGTGACTCCTATGCTCATCGACATGATCTTTCTTGGATGCTGCTTCAAGGATTAAAATTTCTCTATGCAAGTTCCCATTGAAAACGAGCACCAATGATCAATTCAAACTTAGGTCTGGACCTATATTGTGCCCTGAGTTCATCAAGATCTTGAATTTCTACAAACTTGCCTCCTCCCAAATAATGTTGAACTCGGCTGTGAGTGTCATCACTTTCATCTCGAACCTATAGTGAGAGAAGATCCTAGGAGGTTTACCTTGTTTTCACTAATTTGTCGTGAAGGTGTTCAAGGACAAATGCATCCAATTTTCTTCCATTCACACGAGGATGATCAACTTGACAAATAAACTAAGGGATTGGAATGCCAAGTTCCTCTTATTGAAATTGGCAATTGAATGCATGGTGCTAACCAGGCCTTACCCATTTGGCAAGGAGAAGTTGGTCACCCCAGGGTTGAACGAGAAAGATTCCAAGCTCTTCAGCCTGAAAGGGAGAGTCTGGATCGTCCCTCTCAAGATTAGGTCTTCTTCCATGTGGGAGCGCCTCTATAATATGCTGATCCCCCTCCTTTATCTTTTTTACAATGCATTTCTTGTGATGGCACTCATATGAATATCTTTCAGGAAGAGTTGACATGTACAACCCCGAGGATGCTAAGGTTCTTGAGTTCTTAAGCCTCGACTCTCAAAATGATGAGAGAGAGAGAAGAAGATGAGGGCCAGAGTGATGGCATCCTCATCAAGTTCCCTAACTCATGACATCACGCCACTCAACCTGCAATTCATGCTCAATCACTCTTACATGCTACTCCCATTTGCTTCATTCCTCCCCATATCATCTTGTTTAGTAAGTCTTCTTTGCCGCCTCCCTACGAGCTATCATTTTGTACGGACGCAGGATGCCGGACGGCTTTATTATGTACGGACACCGGACAGGAGAACCGTCCGATTAAGTAATGGGTACCCAGCGGTACTGAGGGGTACCTAGCGCAGGTATTGAGATGGGTACCCAGCAATGGTGTGACGTAGCGCATTTTTATTGATCTCCGAATGCCCTCCGGACTCCGCACAAAATAATAAATCCCTCCTGAGGCACTAAGAGATCTCAACGACATCCCTCGAGTGGAGAGCAAAGAGGCGCCCCACAGGAATGGTTATTTATTTTTGATTGTTTGTATGTGCCCTCCTAGCTGATCTTTTACTGCCATGTATGTATATGCCTTCCTTGGAACTTGGGTCGGCGGATCTTGACCAGCATTTTATTTTGGGCAATTTTTTAAACTAAGTATCGTATTAATTATAATTAAGCGATTAACCAACGAAAAAAAAAATTTAAAACTCGCCCGTTTAACGGGCGACTTATATCAGCCATGGGCGGATCCCCATTTAGTTGGGGGGGGGGGGGGGGAACCCCCCCCCCCAAAAAGGGGGAAATGCCCCCCCTCAAAATTTTTTTTTTTAAATTTTTGTGAGATATTTTGAAATATTTTGGATATTTTGTGTATTTTGCCCCCTCTTAAAAAATTTTTTTGCCCTCATTTAATCAATCCTAAGCATTTTTGCCCATCCCCCACAAAAAAAAATTTTTTTGCCCACCCTGAAAAAAGAAGCTGGATCCACCCCTGATATCAGCGAAGTAAGTCGCCCGTTCAACGGGCGACTTACCCCTCAATAACTCAACTAACCGTTATTCCTAGAAGTAACGGGATTGTGTAATTGTAGTAAGTCGCCCGTTGAGTGAATAAAAAAAAAATTGCAACTAAAAAAGATTATGATTAATTGTTATATATTCTGTTTTATGAATAAAAGTTGGATTTGGTATATATATAGGCTTAATCTATTTTTCAAGTTTTTGGTATATTTAGAATTAAAATTTAGGAAGATTAGATCTTAGATCATTCAGAAGTTATATACGCTCTAATTGATAACAATAAATTATAATAAGTATATATATGTATATCAAATATTACAAATTCTTTAAAAATTTATATGTTGTTGGATCATCCAACATTATGTTTTTTAGATCAAACTTCATGTAAGAGTTATTAGAAGAGCATAATAATTCTAATCCAATACAAATAGTAGTATCCATTTGTGTGTAGCACAATAAGAAACAAAACAACAAAATATAACTATAAGCAAACTAAAGAGTACATGATACAAAAAACTAATGTCCTTTTAGTCGATGTGGAAGGAATCGCAATCCAGTCCGTGGAGTAAAATTCTGAGAGGTTTGCTCGTACGTGGCTGGGTACGATGATCCTGTTCGGTCCTCGATCCACTAACATGGTGAAGTAACTGGGTTTTCAGGCTCTCCAGTGAGGAAATTAGTTACCGCGAATACCCGTTAGGTGTGGAGGGCGACGTCAAAACTCAGCCCGTGAAGTGGCTTCTGAAGACGACAAAAGTCAGGTAAGAGGTGGCCCAAGCATTCATATGGATCGTAGTCGGAATGGCTGGACAACACCTGATTCTGCCTTTCATTCAAAATATGATATCGTCATAAAAAATAATATTTGTTCGGTAATCTTTGGCCCCACATATCTCACAAACAATTATTCACATTCCACCTGATAAAGGTGTGCCACCTCGTACCTGCCAAAGGTGTTGGCAAATTCTTCTCTCCCATGCTCACAAGAAACTTCGCTGCCAGGATAGCATTCAGTTAGAAAATTTTTCATTATTAATTAAATGTAAATAGACTTAAACTTACCATTGACGTTCGAGCTGTATCTTGATATATACGGAGGACTCCACAGGGGGCTTTAGCATTTAGTGTGCCCAAAAATGATGAAATTCATGCTAAAACTGCTTGCCTATAATCATAGTCGAACCCAGGATCTCTCCGTAACAATGTATGCTCTCTGCTCTCCATTAGTGCAATACTTTCCCTGGTGTACAATTGCCCAATCAGTGTATTGACTTACCACGTCACAATGTTGGTCACACTTCTTACAAAATAGGATTCCATTGCGCATGTATCGAGTGTGGAAAGGCAACATTCCAGAATTTGTCGTAGTCTCGATCATGGAGATTGTGGCCCACTCAACCCTTTTCCAACTGAAATCAAAGAAACTCTGGAGAGCAATGTTCCTGACCTGAAATCGTAAATAAAAAAGTGCATATCTTCTGGAACTTCTGAGCTACGAATCTGCAGTGTTATTGTCCCCATATTACCTGAATCATTTTTATAACAATTAATCTTCATAATATCGAACAGAATTGATTAAAATGTACCAATATAATTATACTAACATAACTGACTCTCCGTTAAGTCTCCAGCCATCCCGTATGTGCTAACATTTCAAGGTACCTCCAAGTCTTATCCATTTTCCACCTATTTTAATATTTATTAATACTTTAGCAATAAAAATAAAAATTTAAATAACAGTAAAATTTAACAAAATTACCTTATTCCAAACTGCAAACCATCAAGCGCTGAACAGGAAATGGTACATGAAGCATTGAGGATCTCCAACATATAGATGCTCCCAAGCCCATATCTGTATAATGGATGCACCCTCTATATTGCTCATTTGGGTGTCTTAGTATCTCAGATAGCTCCCATATACAACAATGAGCTTCAGATACTGCGACCTCCAATGAGCTATGTCCCTGAATATCGTATATCCTCCGATTCAACGGCAAAATACTTAAAGTAATTTCAGAGTAAAGGTGGAGCAGGTGATCCAATAAAATTAAAAATGTACAGCTCGCACCATGCCTCAAAAATCCATCTCAGATAGATCAATGTCAGGAGTCCCTCCAAAAATCCACCTCAGCCACCTAGTGGATACATGTTCTGCGCATGTGCCTGGCCCATCTAACTGTCGCTGTTATCCTGTGGATTGAACTGGCATGATACAAAACATGTCGTGGGTTCAATGCTGGCCTAGTAAATCATCACAAAAATCTGGCTCAACTAACCATCGTCTCCATTGTCTGAACCCAACAACTGGTGTCCAAACAAAGGAAAGGCCCATCAATCTGTTTATCCCCCCATACATGAAACATCCTGCAGACTATAACGGTCCGGTTAACACCCGCCCAACATATGTGATGAGTATTGTGGTTCATCTAAAAGACAACTGTTACCTGTAACATTAAGAACAAAGGATGCTCCGGTTTCCAGACATTGTTTGCACTACTAAATATCGTTTTATGTATTAACCTCAGTTCATTACAACAACACGACTTTTACTTACATTGAAATAATCAAAAATCTCAAATTTAACTAAATATATTTAACTAATATATCTTATCTTCTTATTCACAGTAAGCGATGAATAAATAATATTTTATATTTTATCTTTACATACGGAAAATTTTTTAATTTGCGCGCGATGTTATTCCTATATTGTACTTCGAATATCAAAATTCTGACATAACACGAATCTATATACAGTATCAATATTTACAAAGAAAATTGCTATCTGTCTACGAAACAAAAGAGATATACACAAATATTGCCTATATTAATTTTGAAAATATGATAATATAAAATTTTATGTAAATTTTATTCAAAAAAGATCCAAAATATCCTTATACTTTATTTTTTTTTTTTTCCATAAAATCTTCATATTAATATAGTTCCAATCATATTATAAATCTCAAAAAAAAATCGTTGAATCTCACATTACTTCAAATATATCATCAAAAATTAATATTTTTTCCACAAATCCAATTATTCCCTCATAAGCATCTATTGTTTAACACAGAGAAATTATAAATACCACAAGCGATCCATCATAGCACACACAATCCCGACATACTAGAATCTAATCACATCAGTATGTACAACCCGCTGAAATTCCACAATAAGTTAAATTTAAATGCAAATATAATAACTCATAAAGGAAAGATCATCATTTGAACATTAACAAAAAACTCCAAAAAAGAAAGTTAAATCACCCTTACCTGCGGCCCAGAAGACGCCAAATCTCGCCGAACTCTCTACGCCGAAACACTAGGCTTTTAGGAGCAGGAAGGGCCTCCGCAGGGGTTAGTTATAAAGAAAGACGTAAGTCGCCCGTTTAACCGGGCAATTTATCCTAAATAAGTAAAGTTCGCCCGATTTGAAACGGGCGACTTTGGCGAGTTTAAAAATTTTTTTTTTTTTCTGTTGGTTAATCGCTTAATTATAATTTAAATGATACTTAGTTTAAAAAATTGCCCTTTTATTTTGTGGTCCTCCAAAAGAACACTTTTAACTTATAACTCATTTCTATAATAATATCGCCTTAGATAGATCTCACCTTTAACCAGATCTGAGTCCTCGCGAAAGCACCCATATAGACTCACCAATTGGAAGAGACTTGTACTTATTGAAGATCTTATTGTAAAATCAGTAGTTATCTTCTAATGTTATGCTTTTTATTCAACACCTTATTTTTAACCTTAGATGAACCTAGCATTTCACTAGACCAGAGTCATCGCAAAGATAAACATCTACACTTGCCTTGAATATTAGGGCAAGTATGAATGCTTGCCTGCTCGAACAGACTCACTCTTAAAAAATCATTCGAGCCAAAGGGTACAAGTCTCTTCCAATGAAACAATTGAAAAATTGCTGAGTTTGCCCAGGCCACCGCATGGTGAGCGAGTTATCACAGGAAATTGTATTGATTGTTTCTTCCTTTCAAATGTCAACATAAAAAATCGTCCACAAATAAATTAGAGATTTTCAAGGAAGATTACTCAGGCGCCTAAAGCCTGATCAAGATGGAATTTTTAGCAAAAGAAAAAGAAAGAAGTCAAAATTAAAATAATAATAATAATAATAATAATAAAGATAGACATGCACTTGCCTGAGATGAAGAGATTCGGCGAAGGTTCTGCTGGTGGCGGGACGGTTGCGGGAGGAGGAGGAGTGAAGGCGGATATGGAAAAAAACCGCCGAAATCCTGCCCGCGCCACCGCCAACGCTTTTGCCATAGCTCACCTTCGTCCAATCAAGCCCTCTCCTCACTGGAGTGGAGGCAGGAGTATGCATTTCTTGTGCCCTAAGCACACCGGTCCCCGAAGCTCCTAAGATGAGACATCGAAGATTCTAGATCGATCATTTAATATGAAATGACGAAAGAGTCCTCAACGGAATATAATGAGTAATTTTTATTTAAATCTAATAAAAAAATTAACTTTTTAATATTTTATCAATAAGACTTTTTAGGTCTACCTCTACCTTCTAAGCATAAATTAGTTCTTATACATTTACTATCCTAACAAGATTATAAAAATGCCCATATTTTATGACCAAATCATCTAAGATGGCTTTCTTTACTCAGTACTCTTATTTGTCGCTATAGCTACTCCAACATTTTCACTTACATAGTCATTTTGCATCGTCTCTAAGTGCAAATGAATATGTCATTAAAAAAATTGATTTGATCAAATACGAATCTTGATGTACTTTTGAATTGAAAATTTCTAGAGTTAAATTCAAAACAATCCAAACTTCAATCAATAAATTTATAATCAACCTTATCAGCTCAATAATATGAACCAAAATGACACAAAAAATAATCCAATCCAAATCCAAATAAGCCCAGATTAACAAAATGAAATATAGTTGGAAACTTTGAAATATTAATTGAAGGGCCAAATGACATCCAGATTTCACACACTTATATTCAAATCAATCGGCTTGGCAATCAACAAGCCCAAAATCACTCAACTTTGATAACGTTAAGGCACATAAATGTTAATCGAGCACTCCATAATCAAGCGAATCAATATAAATTCATCTAGACTCTAATCACGAGCGTCCAAACTCCGCACATAATAATTTTTCGATAATTGAACTTCGAACCTTCATAAACTTACTAAACAACCTAATTTTTCATCATAAATGGCATCAGTGCGTCAAATAGAAAGAATTTATAGTACAAATTCTCAAGCAGAAAAAGTAATCATGTGGGAGAAGTAACAGTTTGTTCAACCAAAAATAACTCTGGCGTGCAAGACCATACAAGTATGGGGCCTCTGTGGTCTCCCACACTCAAAAGCTTACTTGTCTTATCTAATATACTCCTCAGAACGTTAGAACTCTATCAAAGGAATCTATAAAACATTAAAAATTTTGAGACTTTCATGACGGAAAGCAAGGAGAATGAAGAAGAATGTGTACTTACATCCTCATCAGTTGAACACATCATCAGAGCAATCTTGTTTTTCTTTATTAAGCCCTTCATCATCATCCAAATTAATCAGAATTAGGATTCCAACTTCCAAGTAAAAAGAGGCTAGCTTTCTATATTATATAAAATTATAGATGACTTTCCTTTGAAGATTCTAGCACTTCTCATCACTCCCTTTCAATCTACTTGTAGAAGTCAATTGCTTAGACTCTAAAAACTTTAAACATAAGAGGACCAATAACAAATTCTATATAAGCAAATGCTTCACTCAAAAGAGTTGGAGGGAGAAAATGATGAGCTTAAGTTTGGTATTTTTCCTTCTTTTTGGCGTTTTAGAGAGTGTTGAGGCTATCTCGAGGGCTGAATTTCCTGATGGTTTTATATTTGGGACAGCTTCTTCTGCTTTTCAGGTGAAATAATATTTTCATGTTTATGTTTCATTTGATCATTCTTAGAAGAAGATGAGTGTTAATTGCTACTATGGCTCGAGCTCTGGCTTTAGTTTGAAGGAGCTGTGAATGAGGGGAATAAGGGAGATAGCATATGGGATACCTTCACAAGCAGACCAGGTAAGATAAGACAATATACAAGTAAGAAGGCTACAATCTTTTACCTATGATGATAAAAAAGAAAAACTATACACAGGAAAGATTTTAGACTTCAGCAATGCCAACACTGCAGTTGATCAGTACCACAGATTTAAGGCAAGTAATGCAGTACTTGTATTGTCATTTCTCAATAAAGGAATGATGTTTATCCTTTGGATCACAATCACTATATTGATAGAAGAATTAATACTCAAAATTGTGCAGAGTGATGTAGACTTGATGAAAAATATGGGAATGGATGCATACAGATTCTCCATCTCCTGGTCAAGGATATTCCCAAGTAAAAAATTCTAAATTTTTTACTTTTTTTTTTCTCCGTTAGAATTGTTGTATTCATTCAATGGGCCTAACATGCTCAACTTGACAGATGGAAGTGGAGATATCAATCCAGAAGGAATAGCATACTACAACAGCCTAATAGATGCTTTACTTGAAAAAGGTCTCCTACAAACAATTAATTATTATGTGCGGACGCCGAACGCTATCTGGAGACCAACCAGAATGCGTCACGTCATCCATTCGCTCGGTACCGCTGACGTGACGTATTCTAGTTGGTCTCCGGACGGTGTTCTGAGTCCGGCCTCTTCACGGAATAATTTCTCCCTACAAATATTAAAAAATATATAAATATGCAAAATATTCAAAATCTGGTCCCTCGTATTATTTTATGTTTATGTTCTCTACTTCTAACATTTATTATTCTTTCCCCTTTTTAAGATGCATATAGTTCATGTAAGCTGTAAAACCATAAGAAAAAAATTATCCTTTCTTCAGGAATACAACCATTTGCAACTCTATATCATTGGGATCTTCCACAGGCTCTGGAAAATAAGTACGATGGCTGGCTAAGCGCTCAGATAATGTATAAAAAACAAGCCAAATCTACATGGTTGGCTCATCAATGAAGTATACAAACAATGAAAACTCATTGAAATCATCTTGATGGTAAATTTTTGATGCAGAGAAGACTTTGAACATTATGCTTACACCTGCTTCAAAGCTTTTGGTGATAGAGTGAAGCATTGGATCACCTTCAATGAACCCCATGGATTCTCACTTCAAGGTTATGATTTTGGCATACAAGCTCCAGGAAGATGTTCTCTGTTACATCACATAATGTGCAGAAAGGGTGATTCATTAACTGAACCATATATGGTTGCTCACAATATCCTCTTGTCTCATGCTGCTGCTTATCACGCTTACAAGCTTCATTTTAAGGTATTCCCTCCTAGATTCCTATAACTAAAGAGATTAAGACTTTGTTTGGAATGAATTTCTTGCTGCATTTTCAAGCAGCTTTTTAGTATAATTTTTTTATTTTTTATCAGAAAGCTACTTTAAGAAGCAGTAAAAAAACCGTAATGAAGCCTAAGATTATGTTTGTTATGAAGGAATTAGAAGCGAGTATATGTTAAGGGGCTTTTTGACACAAACTTGCTTTTTTGGTTTTATGTTTTATGTGCTATTGATTTATTATTATTTAAAAAATAAATCAAGTTCTTTTTACAATTATTCAAAATAGTTTTTAGGTGTTTTGAGTGTTTTAAAAACAAACACCACCAGAAGCAACTATGACCTCCAGCTCCGACTGCTCTGTCATCCTGCCAATTGCCGCCATCATCTTGTAAATCATATGATTTCATATTTTATAAAAACAAAATAGTAGATATTTAATTTTACTAAATATATTTTTTATTTTATATCAAAACTTAAGCTACTTTTTGATGACCTGATTATGAGAGTAGGTGTACTAGATTGGACATATATTAATAGAGATAGAAACAGACCTAGAGAGACTTGGTTGTAAAATATTAAAAATGATATTTTTTATTAGATTTAAATGAGAATTTGACTCTTAATATTGAAAAATTACTTTGTGCAGACCTCGACGGTGTCCAGAGACCAACCAGAACGCACATCACTTTTTTGCTCGGTGTCGGTGCTCGGTATCGCTCGGTACCGGATGACGTGGCACGTTCTGATTGGTCTCCAAACCGTCCGGTGTTCGCACAAAGTTTTTTTTTTTATTAAAACTTATGCAAAACAAAAAATTAAGGGGGAAAAAAACATAAAGTGATCCCAAACAACCTAATGATTTGGGAAAGTATTATTCTTTCTTATTTATTTGATTAAAATTTGACTTTTTGTTTCTTGTCAGAATAGACATGAGAGTCACAATGATGTTTCTATAATTTTTTTTTTTTTGGCTTTTCTCCTAAGATTGTGAAGGCATTTGTGAATGGAAAAAGGCTCCCCTTAACATTTCCTTTCAAAATCTAATTTCCTTTTAACTACATTGAAACCAAACACCAAATGTGAAATTGTGAATCAAACAGAGATAAACAGAAGCTATATGAATTATCCATGACAAATTCTACTGTAATTTTCAGAAGCAGCAGGGCGGTTCTGTTGGCATTTCTCTTGATTCAAGATGGTATGAACCAATATCTGAAGCTGATGAAGACATTGATGCTGCTCGCAGGGCCATGGACTTTGAACTAGGATGGTAAAAATTTGAACTTTTTCATCGTGGAAATTACTTGTTTGTTGAAAAAATTACTAATGAATTTTGGTTCCAGGTTCTTGGATCCCTTAATATATGGGCGTTATCCTTACTCAATGCAGAAACTTGTTAGCAACAGACTACCCAAATTTACAGACGAAATGTCCATTTTACTAGCTGGTAGCTTAGATTTTCTAGGTATAAATCACTACACATCTTCTTATGTTCGAAATGATCGTAGCAGAATAAGAAAGTTTTTACTGAAAGATGCTTCTGGTGATGCTGCTGTGATAAAAACATGTAAGATGATGATGATGAAACAATTTCATGTTATTTTTTTTGGATTTTTACATACATAACACCTAAAACTATTAAAAATACATATTTAACATCTAAACTTCTATATTTAATAATATACCACATAAAATCCCCCTTTCTTTCTGTTCTACCACTCCATTGAAGCGATGAGATACTTGTATTCACTGTGAAAGGATACCATTGACAGGGAAGACAGCCGTTGATAGTGATTTTTGACGGAAGGTTTAAACTGAATGTTAGAATTGATTAAAAGAGAGATTTTGGGTGGTGTATTAGTAAATATAGAAGTTTAGGTGTTAAATATGTATTTTCAATAGTTTTAAGTGTTATATACATAAAAATCTCTCTTTTTTTTTTAGTTTCTCTGCATTTTCTTACTAATAGCTCCCCAACAGCAACTCGGCATGGAAAGGCCATAGGTGAAAGGGTAAGTGCTTACTTGTAAAATTAAAAAAAAAAAAAAATCTAATTTTCCTTAATATAATTGTATTAATTAGATTTTTTTTTTTTTTTCAGGCTGCTTCAAGTTGGCTGTATATAGTTCCTTGGGGCATCCGCAAGTTGATGAATTATATTAAGGAAAATTACAAGAATACAGCCATTTTCATTACAGAGAATGGTAGCAAGTCAAATTCTGCAATTTTAGTATAATATATGGGAGGCAAATTTTATGGAAAATATTTTTTTGGTGCAGGGATGGATGAACTGAACAATCCATTTATGAACCTAGAAAAGGCACTGAAGGATGATAAAAGGATAAGTTACCATAAGGAATATCTCTCAAATCTAAGTGCTGCAATAAGGTTAGCTCTGTGAGGCATATGGACTGCTTGCTTTGTTATTATAATGTTTAGTTTGGAACAGTTTTCTTTCTATTTTCTAAGACATTTTTCTAGTACAAAATCTCTAATTTAAGAAAATTTTATACTAAAAAATTGCTTTAAAAAACAACAAGAAAGCTGTCCCAAGCGAAAGCTGCTTTAAAAAACTTTAGTTCAGCAAAACTTGCGTGTATAAAAATCAGATATACTTTGCTTTATTTGTCATTTGGATCAAATTTATGAAGACTGTAAGATGGTTAGTATGGAAACTGGGATAAAAGGTTCATTATTATAATAGCTAGTTTACACAAAATATGAATTCTTCCTACACGGTTTATACCATATAAAACTGCATAAAATTTTCAAAATAATACTAAAAACTATTCTAGTATGATCAATTTAATTCTAGAGTATCATGTTGCTTCAATATAATCCATCAACTATTCAGAATTGATTCAAAATAATATCTTATCTTATAATTGTGATACAAAATTGATCTCAATTTAATCTATTTACTACACAAAATTAATCCTGATTTCGTTTCAAAGAGATCATTTTGAATCAATTTAATATAGTCCAGTGATTAAGGCTTCGTTTGGGACAGCTTTTTTACTGCTTCTTAAAACGGAGTTCTTGTTCAAAATTTTAAATTTTTGTACTAAAATTCCGTTTTAAGAAGCATTAAAAAAGCCGTCCCAAACGAAGCCTAAATAGGAGCAACGTCTTTGAGACTAAGGCTTCATTTGAGACGACTTTTTTACCAATTCTTAAAGTAAATTTTTAGTACAAAAATTTAATTAAATTTTTTATTAAAAAGTTGTTTTAAGAAACAATAAAACAATGTCCCAAACAAAGCCTAAGATTTTATTTGGAATGACTTTTTACTGCTTTGTGAAGTTACTATAGATAAAATAACTTTTTAAAATTGTTACATATAAAAACTTTTTTAAAGCAAAGAAAAAATAATAGTCAAATAAAATTATATTTACAATCTAAAAAATAAAATAATAAGAAGACTATTCCAATTTCCAAACTAAGCTTAAGTTATCAGGTATAAATGATAAGGAGTATTTTAAAGTTTACCTCAAAGATACAAGAACCTAAAAATGATTTTCTGATGGCCAGTTTCAGGGCAAATTATTAGGTTCGATCACCGGACCTAAATTTGCTTGACCGGACCTAATAATTTGCGTCCGAATTGTTTGCGCTTTTAATGCACTTTTACTACGCTTTTGATGTATTTTTTAAAAGGGCAGTTAATACATAATTTTAATTGCATATTAGTTGTCTTTTTGCTGCCTTTTTACTAAGTATTTGAAAAACGTAGCAAAAGCGCAACAAAAGGACAGCAAATACTCAATAATTAAGATATTTGTTACGCTTTTGCTTTATTTTTACAAATACTCAACAAAAAAGCTACTAATATGCAATTAAAATTATATATTAGCTGCCATTTTGCAAAAATACATCAAAAGTGCATTAAAAAAGCACCAATTTGAATGCAAATTTAGGTCCGGTGAGCGGACCTAATAATTTTCCCACTTTCAGACACCACGTGTTTCTACTCATATTCAATGTATAATCACAAGTGAAAAATAAATGTTCAAACTTTGAATGGAGGATCCCTGCTTGAAAATTACCAAAATTTTGTTTGTTAACATAGAAATTCACCATAAAAAAGCAATCAAACACACAAACAAGCCAAATAAAAAACATATAAATCCATTATTAAAATTTTCTTCATTGACATGCAGGGAAGATGGCTGTGATGTTCGAGGTTACTTCGTCTGGTCATTGCTAGACAACTGGGAATGGAACTCAGGCTACACAGTAAGATTTGGACTCTACTATGTAGACTACAAAAATAATCTTACCAGGATACCAAAAGCTTCAGTACAATGGTTTAGAGATGCTCTATCAAAGAAATAATATCTCAATTGTACAGGCCAAAAAGATCACCAGCATAATTCTGCTTGATATTATTTTAACAATCAGTATAGAATTGATACATTGTAATGAATTTGTATAGTTATTTTATAAAATTTTCCACCATATGATGACAATAGCAGAAATAACTTGTTATATGTTGAATTTTAGCTTAAGGCTTCGTTTGAGACGGCTCTCTTACTACCTCTAAAAACTGCTTTCGAAAGTTACTTTACGAAACAGTAAGAGTAAAAGAAAGCCGCCCCAAATAGAGCTTAAATCATACTAATAACCTCAGAGGTCAGTTATATGTTGAATTCTATATGTATTTTCTCTGCTGAAAACAAAAAAATAAGGATGAAACATATTTGTCTGAATGTTCCAGAAGAATCCACCAACAATAAAAAGTTCAATAAATAGAAAGAAAAAATATTCACAAGAGCTCTCAATAGCTGGTTTCTCCACTAACACAGAGGGAGGGGAGGGACAATATCCACCCACGTACAATTTAACATGCATTCATGTATATACAAGTCAAACTAAAACACAGTTAGTAGGATACACAAATAGATAAAGCCATCCAAAATATATACATAGAAAGGTTCCATTTGTTTTTCTAGTCGACAAGTTCTCCAACTAAAAGGAAAAAGTTTGCCAAAAACAAACATTTCTCTTAGTTGCATCAACAAATTCATATAGAGTATATGAAAATGGAAGAGAACTATCCTCTCTTAAGCAGAACCACCAAAATGGTTGCAACAGCTAATGCCATAAAGGAAGATCCAAGTGTCATATTGATATATTTATGATCAGTGCTACTTGTTACCGTTTCGCCTGAGGGGCTGGAGATCCCAAAGAAATCTTGAACGTAGTCAGATATAAAGCTGACAATCTGCGAAACTTTAACCTTGAAGCTATCCAGTAAAGAGACTTTAGAGGTTTCTTCCACTTCTACAGTTGGTGAAAAGTTGGGCTTGTTTTCTGCAACAGATTCAGCTGGATCCCCATATATTTGAGCTACCGCTGCATAAAGACAGAGAATGGATGTGCTTCTTATCTGGTGAATTGTTCAAGGATCAAAAAAAAAAAAAAAAAAAAAAGTTAAAATATTAAGATGCTTTTCCTAACCAGGTGAAGGGTTATTGCAGAACTTGAGAAATTTCTCGTTATTCATGACCGCATCCCAGACATTTTTATCAGCGGCAAGTGAAGCAACCACCTCCTGCAGAAGAAAGCAGGAATGACTTGACTACACATGAATGGTCTCTATAAGAGTTTAAATATAGATTAAATTTATCAAATGAAAAAAATTTCAGTAATGAAAAATTCCACAAAGTTCATTAAAATCGTCCACAATAATCATCTTCCTTCTCTTCCTTAAGTATGCAATATAATATTTCATCCATATCATCCCAAAATTAATTTTTAAAATTCTATTCAAATACACATGATAAGCATAAACACTGATGGAAGATGATATTTATAACGACCTCACACATAAGTTACTTAATCACAATCATTTTTTTTTTCACTAATCCTATTTATCTCAACAGTTTAATCTTTCAACTATAAGCCTCAAATCCATTTTCTACACTCTTTTTAATATATAATAACTTACAACCTTCCCTATGCATTTCATTTCTTGCCAATAAATATTATGTATAATTTTTCTCATCATTGTGAACACCAATGCTCTTATATGCTTATATCAAACAACTAAACTCCATATAGTAACTACAGCGTTTGTATTAGAACAGCTAAGCCCCTAGATTTCACCAAAATCAAGTTAAATTATGACAAGCATTTGCACTGAGATGTGTTAGCCAACACTCGACTAATTTTCACTACAATCAGTTTAAGCAATGATGAGTCACTTACGAGTGATTTCATAGCAAACCTTTGCCTAGTCCTCGCATCAGATTAAATCATGGCGCATCATTTCTAGGGAATGGATTGGCAGTGGCACTAATAAGGTTCAAATTGAAATTTTTTCATTAATTTTGATAACTTTTACAATATAAATAAAATCAAACCCCAATCCTTTCATCCGAACTTAAGACATGTAATGGAAATTTTTGCAATAACACCAACAAGCAATATAATATTATCATTTAATATATTATTCATTAAAATTATCCAAAATAATAAAACCTTATTTAGAAAGATCAGATAGCATGACATTCGGATGATTATCAAATTTGATTGACATTAACATGCCAAAAAAATAAATTAAATATCATGTATAAAATTATCTTTATATAAATTTCTGTCCTTCCTGTAATTGAGCCTAATAAATTATATGCTTAATGCTAATAAATTAAACATATAATCTTATTCTTAGAATTAAATTTATAAAAATTAATTTAAAAAAGTACATAATTCACTAGGTGTTATTTGTTCAGTATATCTAGCTATAGTTAGGTGAAGTGTAAATATTAATACTAAAAAGTTTTACTTTATATATCTAGCTATTTGTTTGATATTTTTATCCTACTTAAACCTCTAATAATATACATAATTTTTTAAGTGCATTTGATATGAAAAAATAGATATATAAACATATCGAGCACTTAGTGAACTATTTGTTAAAGTATGGTTGCAAGCATAAAATAACAATTAGGTCATATTTCAAGGTTGTTCCTTTAAATGACGAATTTTTTTTTAATTTAGTTAAATTTGTTCAATTAAATAAATAAATAAATATAAATGAACCTTATGTGAATGAGAATTGAGTCTTTCATCAAGTGCACTAATTCGCTTATAAGCCTAGACGAAATATAATAAAGTATTGGTGAATAATGCAACAGCTTATATCTATACATGCAAATTTGATATACTACACAAAATAGTGATACAAAAAATAAAATACAAATAATTCTATATAAATCTCCTCAAGAAGAATGGTAAATACATAAACCAGTACCCTTAAAAACATAAGTTTCTTTAATTATAAACTCTTCTTTAATTATAAACTCGTTATTAGGTGTAAGGTATTCATTAGTTATTAAGTCATATATTTTATTAAAATCTTAAAACATAATCTTTTTTAACATATCCAAACCAATCACTTTTATATACATTGTATATAAAATAATAAGTATCCTACATAAAGCATCAATGAGTTTTTTTTTATCTTAGCATAATTTTAGGTAGATTAGCATATTTTTTAAGATATTCGACTCATTTATTATGACCACGTCCCAATTTTTTATGAAGGCAAACATTTGATGGTTAATATTCAAAACAAACTTTCAGGCATCAAATAATGTATCCCAGATGTAAGAGCGTACACTATGCATTAAATTCTCAATCATCATTGGAATAACTTCGCCTTGTTTTCATTTTTCAATAAATAAGTGATAGAACATCCCTTCTAGCTTAAAATATCTCTTATTGCTCATAAGAAATCTCAACTTCTCCTTGTAAGACAATTTCAATAGGAGCTACAATTGTACTAAATCAGTCAAACAGTTTTCTAAAAAAGGAGTTCAAACCATAAAAGCTTTCATATCATGAGTATTAATCGAATATCACCATTCATTCATTGTCTTTATTTCATCACGATCAAGAAATAAAACTACACTTTTTCATATTCAAATAAAATTTATATTTTGTAACTGCAAAAACTCTTCTAAGATGCACAACGTGATGATTTTCTACTCTAACTATATATCAAAAATTATCAAAATATACTAGTAAACTGTAAATAAAGGGGATAAGAACATGATCAAAATTATGATAAAAATGTTTGATACATTAGTTAATCCAAATGATATTTCATTAGCCTCCTCAAACCTTCTACTTGCTCATAATTACTGATGGAAATATTATCGCTGCCCTAGCTATCATGTCAAATCTATCATCCAACTAATGAACAAAAAACCAATATTTAAAGGTCTTCATCATGAACACTTGGGATAAGACTAATATTTGATGTCTTCATCATCAACACTTGGGCTAAAACTAGTGATATTACTAATTACTTCATTATTAAGGCATATACACCAAATTTTATCTTTCTTAGGTGCAACTAATGTTGAAACTACAAGGCTCCTCTAAACAATATATTTTTCAACAATCCATCTGCTTCTCATTAAAGTTAAACAGGTTAAGTTGAATTCATATCACAATATAGAAGGTTATAAAAAAATCATCAAGAAATAGATGCATCATATATCTCATAAAAACTACACATACTTTTAACATATTTTCTTTTATTAACTTTGTTAATTATAATATTACTACCCTTAGATAAAGTAGGTACAATCATTTAACTTTGTGTGTACTAGAAATAAAGGGATATTTGCTAGGCGTATTTACCAACTTAAGTTAGCTTGAACTCGATATAGTACCAAAATGCCATTTACAGCGATATCTTGGGATTGGCTAAGATAAACACAACTATTCTTCATTTAAAAGGATAAGCCGTATTAAGCTAAGCACATCGAGGAAACCGCTTATGATCCTAAGCATTCCATCGTTGTTATCTCAAATTCTCCCCTCCCCATGATCTTCTTTTCTCCCCTTTTACGATTTCACCTCTTCTCCCCTTCCATATGATTTCAACTTTGTTGCCAACGTAACTGGAGTCATCAAGAGTGACATGTGAGTAGGATTTGGAGCTTGGTTTGGATCTACTACCAAAACTTTTCGTAATTTAACAACTCACAACAACTCCATCACATGACTTAAACATAAAGTTATGCCCAACTTTCCAAAAAAACATCAAACAACTTCACAAGCTTATATTAGCTTACCTTTTAAAGCAACCAAATAGCTTAAATTAACTTATCTTACCCTCGCCCTGTTTACATAAATATATAACAAAAAAGGACCAAGGAAAAATTAATAGCATGAATAATAAACCTTTTAAGCACACAAGTTTTCAACTTTTTTCCGAAATTTAAGTCATTTACAAGTTTGTCAATTAATGAAGAAATATAGGTGGCATTTCTTTTTTAAGAAGGCACTAAACCTGATCTAGACCAAGGAAATTTTATATTGGGATTTTCCACTAATTCAAAATTAATTAATTATAACTTTTCAAATTTATTTCACATATACTAACATTTTTTTTCTTGTTTTAACGCATTTAAATCATCATCAAATAATAGTGGTATAACAATGAAAGATGTTTCTCTTTAAGTGCGGCTTTCATTTTTCCCAAATTAATATAATTCATTTGCCAAGCCTTTCACACAATTTTTTCCCAGGTATCCAACATATTTTAGCTTGTCCTTTAATTTTAACTATTTAAATCTTATATAAAGCTTATCAAATAGTTTCTAATTCAACATGATTATCCACGAAATTGGCATAATAAAAAAGCCATGGAATCTATCCTCCCATCAAATGTAGAATGCTTTGACCTTTACTTAATTATTTCTTCATCCAAAGCACACATTCAATACCTATTATTGTCAAACATCTCATTATCATATAAGGACTGTAATTTTTAATATTTTGGTCACGCTGATATTCCTGACATCTATCCAAATTAACATGTTTTTCTATATGATAGAAATCAATTTCTTGTTCATCAGGGTAGTCCTTAGGTTGAGAATGAGCAGTTTACATAATTCAACTCTTCTACATAAATAACCCAATTCTTCCCATCACACGTAGACAGCTTTGACTTAGTTATATCATCATCCAAATCGCATATAATACCTATTATTGTCACACATCTCATTACAATACAAGAGTAATAATTTTTAATATTTCTGCAACATTGACATTCCTAAAATCTAATGGAAAGACATTCAAATTAAGATGTTCATCTCTAGGATTAAAATCAAGTTCATATACATTAGGATTGTTGCTAGATTGAGAATGAGCAATTTATAAAATTCTAGTTCTTCCTCTAAGCTGATTCATGCCCTCCCTCATTTAATAATGCCTACTTATCATCGGAACTAATTATTATTTTCAATTTTCTAAGATCTTATCTATTTGTTTATTTGTTACATGAACTCAATGTTAAGCATCGCTTCTGGTTGACCTCATGAAACAATCAAAGGCACTGATGAAAAATCAGATGAAGGATATTCTAGGGCCTAAACTTTTTAATTCATATATAACAAACAATGTTATTTAAATGCAACAAACATACAAATTTCACGATGAACAAGCTATTAATCTTAAAACGAATATTTTTAAGTTTAATAAAAAGAACAAAAGTAAACAATCCAATTCAGATGAAAGAGTTTTTTTGCACTCAGCCAGAAATTAGCAACTAGAAAGTTAAGGATCACAAAAGCCACTTATATTAATGAAATTTTACATTAAAGAAAAAAAAATGGGTGGAACTTAATAAAAGTCCAGTCACTTTCCATCAATAACAAAATAATTAGAAAAATGAAGATGAGAAGGATGAGGGTAAAGGGATGGGGTAAGAATTCACCGATAAAACAAGTTTTATTCTTGTACAAAGAAATTATCTATCCCAAAACTTTCAACTTTCAAAAATGATTAAGGAACAAAAACACAAAAGAAGGCGGATTTGTGCATCCAAGTAAAAAATTATTAACAAAGACCATTTTTTTGGGCATGGCTCATATTTCTGCCTATAATTCTCAAAGAAAAATAATGGAACAAAAAGGAACCATCGAAGGACCAAACCGTAATAGTCACCACCAATCACAAATGCTATACAACAATCCCGTGATAGTAGCAACAATCCAAAAAAGTTGCTACAATTTTGCAAGAAAACCACACCAGCTACAATAGAAGACTTGTGGTAAATGGAACAAAGGCAGAAAAGGAAAGCCAATAGAAGAGACATAGAAACTGGGAACCTAGCCTAGCCGCAAAAAATAGATAGCAACGAAAGTTAAATCAAATGCAATACCAAGTAACCATAGCGATGAATTGAAATAAGGAAATTTCAATCTTGATAATATGAAAATATTATAGGAATGTAAATACACTCACTTACACAACTATAAAAAAAAATTACAACACAAAATTTAATGTTCTTTATGTAATTTTAAAATAATTGAGCTCATTATTCATAACACAAACATTTTATGTTTCTGATAACGGCACATTCTGAGACTCATATCACTCATTCTGCTTAAGAGTGGTTCATATATGTGATAACAAGAAACTATAATCTAATAGAAACTTATAAAGAGTGCTAAAAAATGTTACAACGTGTGGATGAAGATCCAGTGCAGAGTATGAGGAAGGGTAGATGAACGCAGCCTAACTCCTCATTACAGAAAGGATGTCACCATATAGAGAATTATACCCCCCTTCTTCTTTGTTTAGACAGTTATTGTCCTTTCTTTGAGGATAAAAGACTCTCTCAAAGTTATGTCTACATAGCAACACAGCTCATTCTTGAAATATCTACTACTTAATCTCTTGGAGGGATACAGTAATAGAAAGTTTTATAAAATAATTAGAATTTGAACTGCTCTACGACGGATTTCAAGGAAGTAAAATCAAAACAAAAAATATAAGCCAGCAATAATATAATGTAGGCAATCTTTCATTATGATATATTCTAAAAATTAACTTAAATTCAATTCATGGCCCGTGCACCAAAGTAGTCCAACTCAATCAATTAAACCAAATATGGATAAGATAAATAATTTGTTTGTACTAAGTCGGTGGTCCCCATTTAAGATAATTATTTCACTTTAGATTAATTATTTGAAATAGTGGCTCCTCTTTGAATAGCCCTAGGAGAGATCAATTCTATTATAAAATCAGTCATCCCATCAATGAGGTCTCCATTGATTAACTAAAAATCAACTAACTCTGATTTTGAAGGCCGTTTTAGCATATGATCTAATAGCTCTAGATGGCTGGAGACAACAGGTAGGAATAAACTTTCCTTTTGCTTAGTTTCATTCAATGAGGACGGGATTGCATTAAGATATTAGCAAATGCCATTAATGAGTTGCAGATGAGACATTTTTTCATTACAATTAATTAGTTGCCAAACATGTCAATGTATTTATAATTCCAAATGGAAGGAAAATAAGAAATGAATGAAAGATGGGAAGGTCATTCAAATGGTTAAATCATATTGGTAATAAAATTGGACTAAATTAAAATATATGACCTGTTTAAAAATTCCTTATGGTTGGCCATTTTGAATTCCATTTCATGTTCTAATCACAGTGGTTCAATTGTTTCATAAAGAGTCAAACAAAAATGGTGATTTCCAAATGCAATTGATATAAGGAAATTAAGCAGCAAAACTCGTAACCAAAAACAGCAAAAGTAGCAACCAGTAATAGGTTGTTGAAATTTTGTGATAAAAAAAATAATGAAAACAAATATTTGGAACCAAAGCATTTAAGACTTGCAAGAATTCTAGAGGGAATACAAAACAGAACCTATCAGGACACAAAAATCTTAATTGTTTGACTGGCTTTATTTGTTAGAACAACAAAGCAGTGTAGATTATTACTGATTAAACAGTACTTCAACGTCTTCAATCAAAAGAATATAGCATGCTTCTTATTTGATCTAGCATCTCACAAAAAATGTTTCAATCCTACATTAGTAAATTTCAGAGGTCCATAAAATCAATATTCGACATATCCCAACTATTTGGGGTTGGTATTGTGAATTCTTCTTTTCAATTCATTCCTATAAAGTAATCCATACTGCTTTAACTGTAATTAATGAAAACCTACAGGATTACATAACAAATGAAAATTTTGCTTGTTAAAAGAAGGTCAGCAAAACTATGGAACAAAGAAAAGTTTATATCCTCAACAATTAAGACTTCGTTCGGGACGGGTTTTTTGCCTCTTCTTAAGCCACTTTTCAGTAAAAAAATACAAAAATTTTAATTTTTTACTAAAAAGCTACTTTAAGAAGCAACAAAAAAGCCGTCCCAAATGAAGCCTAAGTCAAAAGAAGAGAGAGGTCCACATTAACCTGAGCTTCAGAGCTTCCTCGCAGCAAAGAAAACATCTGAACGACATGTCCCGGTACTGCAGAAACGGTACCATTTTCACCACAGGCTGTTTCTTGGCCACCTCCATGAGAATCCAGGGTATGATCAGGTACGAAATATACTCTGGAAAATCTCAAAACAATCAAAGACTACATACAAAGGGTATTAAACTCCATAAAGATTAAAAAAATATAGAATCTAATTTTGCAAGTAAGAGAAAACTTGTGATGCTAATAAAGAGTACATATCAGGTTTGCCATGTTATATTTTGTCCAACTTCTGCATTAAAACAAGTTCACATAATTAAAATTCTGCATATCTAAAAATTTTTAGCATTTCCTATTTCGAAAAGTAAGCATTACACATGGCCAAGACACACAACGTGAAAAATAATCATACGAAATGGGATACTGAAAGATATAAGCGAAAAAAAAGACAGCTCCATTCTTCATGAAGCAGACAAAACAGGCCTAAGACCTTCAACTGCCAAAAACCAGGTACTTGTACAATACATCAATTTTACAGGAAACTAGATTCCATTAAAAAAAAATTCTATCAAATGTTTAAAAGCTATTCAAGATATGTATCTTTTGTCTAACGATTAACAAAGAATAACTAAAGAAAGCGGACGGTAAATCTTACTTCTCCAGCGCGTCTTTCAGATCAGCGGTCGCCTCCTTGGCCTCCTCGAGGGTGGGGACGGGACCGAAAACCAGTCGAGGAGCGACATCAACCGATGAAAGGCTTTGTTCTGTATCTCCAGCGAGCTCCCACTCAGCAAATTCCCAATCAGGCCAGTGGGTAGCGACGGCCACCGCCGGGGTCTCACTTAGTGTAGGACCAGAGGAAAGGTTAGGAACACTGAGCCCCTGCTCGACCGCAGGCACAAAAGAGGACGCTTGCTGCCTGGCGGCCCTTCGAATAGCCTCACCGACGAGCGGAGAGCGGAAAGATCCGGTTGAGGCAACCTTCGCTGCTGTTCTAAGGACTCCACCGCCCATTTCGAATTGCTTCCTTTCCTATGAAACCCTAGGATGCCGATTAGAGATCGAGGAAGGGATTGAGGAGGTACGAGAGGCGTCGGGATTTGGACGTAGCGCAGTGGTGATCTCCCTATCCACATTTATAATTTAATTTAATTTTGAGGACAATTATCTTATCGGGAATTGGTGAACGAGTCATCAAAATACACGGGGAATTGCTAATCTAAGAGCATCGCTGCTTAATCAACGGTTAGGATTTGCTAGGTTGATCAATAACAAAATTTCATTCCTTCCAGCGGGCATGAAGGAACTTCTTTTTGTCGGAAACGTTAGAGCGAAGGCTCTTAACAGCTAATCGATACGCTAATAAAAGAATAATTAAGATGACGAAAATCGCTAACAAAAACGAACTTCGGACAGAAAATACCGCCAACAGCGACGGTTCTGAAAATTGAGAAAGTCGGATTGTGCCTTACCTTGCGTACAGCAAAATCCTCAACAGTCTCGACGAACGAAAACGGACCCGCGGCTTCCCGAAATCAACTTTTCCTTTTTCCTCTTTTTCCTTTTCTCACGGATGGAATTTCTGATATTTTCTTTTATTTTCTCTCTCTTCAAAATATCTCATTTCCTCTTTAAAATACTCAGATCGTCCTGGACGATCGCGCTTCGTCCCGGTACGATCTGGGCTCTGGAAAATATTCGTCCAGACAAAATTAATTACCGTCTCAGGACGACTTGGGCTCTGGAAAATTTTCGTCCAGACGATCCCACATTTCGTCCCGGACGAACTGCCCAATCTTCACAATTCTGAACAAACCTGTACCGATCGTCCCGGACGATCCAACTTCGTCCCGGAAGAACCTGGAGCAGAACTGATATTACAGAACTAGCTGCACTTAATTCACCTCCAGACGTAAAGCTGTGTCCGGCATCCGCACATAATAATTTCTCAGCTGCTTGAGTCCACTATACCTCTGCATAACTCATTATTATAATAATTATTTTTTTTTGTTAGTAGTACTAGTAAATTTTATGGTTTTGGTGAAATTTAGGGCTTGGTTAAATGTTTTGGGAGAATGTGTAAAATAAAATTGGAGTACAAATTTTATTTATTTTATTTTTATTTGATATAAAATAAAATAAATAGAAAGTATTTTTGTAATTACTAAGAAATAGCATAAAAGTTCATCCTTTGCATATTTTAAATCCACATAAATTGGGTGAATTTTAAGTGTAATGTTATCCTTCGGGAACTAATCCAACTGAGATGATTATAGGGTGAGTTTTATATTATAAATGAGGTCATTTTTACGTGACTAAATAATACATTAGTATAATATAATAGGCATCAATTGTGAAAAATATTTTTCACAGTAGAAGTATGAGATTGAGTAATCAAACATATGAGGATAGATTTTAGTAGTTGATAAATATCAAGTTTTGATTTTTGATAAGCATTTGGTCTATTAGAAACATTAAAAGTCAGTAGCATACTTGATATTTTTTTTATGGTATACGAAAATCAACAACCCCGAAGTTAAGCTTCATATGAAAATTGATTAAGGCTTAGTTTGAGACGGCTTTCTTATTGCTTATTATAGTAGTTTTTTTAGTACAAATTTTAAATTTTTGTACTATAAAACTGTTTTAAGAAACAATAAGAAAGTCGTCCCAAACGAAGCCTAAAAGTGACATACATCAAGCAACAGCTGGTTGTATGCTCGATTATTCTCCTTATAAGAGAAAAGAATGGCAATCACAAAAATGAGTTTGATAGATGTTAGACATCGGTGAGTGTTGGTTGACAATTAATTATGAATGTGGGATGTGAGATAAAATTTAATAATATGGTCATTGATAACTATAAATGTGAGCCTCAAGTTAAATAAATTTGATTTTAATAACGATAAATATATGGATAATTTCAAATAAGTTTAATAACAACATTGGAAGATAAGATTAAAATGAAACCTCAATTGAATTCTTTTGCGCAACTTTTATTAAACTTATATATATATATATATACATTTAATAATTTAATAACAACATTGGAAGATAAGATTAGAGAGAGACGTCATTAGATGGTTTGATCAAATAAAACAACGGCCTTCTGATAAGGTTAGAAAAAAAAAGTATTAGATTTGAGTTATATTAAGAAAGACAATAATAAACCTAAGAAAACTTGATTAAGAAATATTAAAATTGATATTTCTTTATTAAATTTAAACAAGAATTTGACTTTTAACTTAACACTGTAGAAATAAGGATTCATATAACCAATCTCATGTAGTGCGACAAATGCTTGATGTTGTTGTTGTTGTTATATGCATATATACATAATGAAATTTTGGTTTAAAATTAGTAAAATTTGGGCAATTTCAATGATGCAGAGCAGCATATTAACCAATAAACCAACAAAGTTCGCGAGGCTTTATTAGGCCATATTCAGAGTAACATGTATATTTAATTTTAGTTTACTTCATAACATCACTACAATTACTAAACAATTAATATACAAAAAAAAATCAACTTAGGACATTCATACCCAAATTTTCTCCTGTCCTACCAACACATCTGAATTTTTTTGTTTTTCCTATTGAAACAGATCGATCATTAAAGCAATAAAAAGGTCCAAAACTGCAAGATTAGATACAGATATAATACCAATATACGCCCATTAACTACGATCACGATTACAAAATTCCTGTTTGTTTAGGGTTTAGATTCTCTATATGTAATCTGAACCTTGGAAGTGCTCAAGGTCGGGATGGACACCGCCTCCAGGCCGTCGTGGCCGCCTGCAAAAAAAAAATATTTTGGAATTCAAAATAAGCAAGGAATTGATGATCTTTGCTAAATGATCTTAAAATTATGCATCTTGTATATGTGATCTCTACTGTGTTTGTTCTTTTGTTCTTGTTTGAAGCTTTATTAGTACACTGATAGTTAGTATCCAAGCTTTTGATTTAGAAACCTTCAAGATTCAAGCAAGAAGGATGGGAAGATCAAAATTAAAGGGTTCGACGGCCAAAACTTTCAAGTAATGAACTATCTATAAGAAAGAAAGCTCCATCAATCGCAACTTCTATTACTAACTGCCTAGATCTAATCTGCTTCTAGCTTATGTAACCAGATCTCCAGCTCTTCCACCTTTGAGTTCCACTGTCGATTCCTACAACAACAACTCCTCACGGTGCAACTATAGCAAAGTTAGAAGAGAGAATTTATGGAAAATGATACTGATTTGAATGAGTGTTTGATGGGGACATCAGAGCATGGAAAGTATATCAGAGGCTAAGACGTGGCCGACGATCTGTTGCGCCGATCTATTTTTGAGTCCTCATATGTATTTGTTTTATTTATTTGATTTATGTATTTATTTTAGTAGCATTTCCCTTTGTACCCTTAAGGGTTTTGCATGTGTAAGTCCTAGGGGCTATGTCGTCTTTTATTTTCTCTTTTATTATATGAGACTATATATAGCCCCCTTATATTTCTTTTGAGTGGCTAAGCCCTAAATCTTTGTAAGTCTATATATATACTCTCCGTTGGGGAGTATTAAAGGTTATAAAAAAATGAAGTTGTCCTCTTGCCCTGTCGTTCTCCTATACCATTTCTCAATCTCATCATTTTTCGAGTTGCCGCAACTGGAATTGCCATTTTATCGAACATGTTCACATCAGCTTCTCACAAATTAGGAACAACCAGGACAAAACAACTACAATTGAATTGAAGATATATCAATTTATCCCTTTGTTTCCGTAGGGAAAATAGTTAATCCATGCACCGGTATCCATACATTCAGTGAAGCAATATGGGATAAAATTAAACAAATTTTTAACCTGGGATGCTTACTTTGTGCAACAAGCAAAGCATATTAACTGACTATTTTCTTCTGGCCATATTTTTTGGGTAAAAGTTCTAAGTTTTTTTTTTAAAATATGGTTTATTCATCATGATTAGAAGTTTAATTTTTTCAATAGCGCCACCAAGTTCAGTGTCAAAAAAATGGATTTATTATTCTATGCAGAGTCCGGAGGGCGTTTGGAGACCAGTAAAATTGTGCCACGTCATCCCAAAAATGTAATGCGCTCGGTACCGAGCTTGATACCCGCCCTCGGTACCACTTGGTGCCGCTCGGTACCGAATGCTTAACCGGACGGGAGAACTGTCCAGTGTCCGCACAGAATAAAAGCTCCAAAAAGTGATAACAAGGGAGATAGTGGTCACCAATGACTTTAGAAATGGATTATATTCTTGTAGATATTAATGGTAACTAAATGATAATTTCAGCACATTCTTGAATACCTATTTATACCTTGCAAGGAAATAAGAAAGGCGCTTATTAGAAGTTTGGTTACTGAATACATGTTTTGACAAGCAAAACTCCAAGTAACTTTAAATCATAAACAAAAAGCATTTATCTTCTAAAATTGACAACAGGTGAAAATATCAGAAAGCAAACAAAATGCTTGAATAATTATGTCAATAGAATTGATGTTGAGCATAATTAATCGAGTAACCCTATGGGACTGAAGAAGACTTTGGAGCAGCTCGGAAAGGTTATGACTTATGATTGGCTGAAGATATCAGCTTAAAAGAGTCTTAATTTCAATTTTGAGATTCCTCAACCCAATAATGAATTTGATTATCATAATCTTACAACCGGAGAAGTTTACGATCAAAATTAAACTCTTGATAAAAAAAAAAAAAACATTTCAAGCCTTCATCTCCAATAATGAGATCCTCGATAATGATGAATTTTCAGTTATCAAAGAATTATAATCTAAGATGTCAACCATCGAAATTAAACCCTTGATCATTAAGATAATGTTTCAAAATTTTCTAATATGATGGGTATAATTATTATCAATCATAACTAGAGAGGATCATTTTGATAAAAATACCCTCAAATGCATGTAAGAGAATTTATTTTGTGCGGACCCCAGATGGAGAGAATCATCCAGATTTGTTGCACTTTTACTACCTTTTTGCTGCGCTTTTGTAAATACTCAATAAAGACGCAACAAATATTCAATATTTGCTAAACAATTGAATATTTGCTACGCTTTTACTGAGTATTCACAAAAGCATAGCAAAATGATAGTAAAAACGCATTCATAATTGAATATTTGCTGC